TAAAGCAGGGCAAAAGCAACAGAGGATCTGGTTGAAAGCCAAGTGAATGGCTCAGAAATGTTCAGTAGACATTAGCTTTGATGAACAATGGTAATTGAATTTGCTTAGCTTTGTATCTCTGTCATGCTCACTTCCATGAATAAGCTAGCAATTGAGCTCATCAGCATGAATTAGAAACGAATTGTAGAGACTATTCACAGAAGATCAATATGAAACTTGCAAGTACATGTACTTGCATTGGGCATGTTCATCCTAACAGGGAACAGAAACAATGCTATATGATATACATGTCTAACAAAAACTAACCAACACAGCTTCAGTATCAAACACTGAATTATTTCAAAGGGCTTGGGAACAATTTACAATCCAAGAATTTTACACAGAAACAATTTTCCGAAGAATGAATACATTTGTGATCTTTGTTAAATGCATTGTAGAAAATCTGCAAACAGAAAAGAAGCTGAAATTAATTGCACAAATTTCTTTCTTCACATAATTAGCTCAGAGGCACAAAACAGGAGGCTGCTGCAGCATTTGAAGTAGTGGGGCTATTTTTTAAACTTCCTGCTCTCCTCTGTTACAGAAAAGTGGTGGAAGTATTATTGCCAACCATCAGACAGATATTGATGATATAAAGATCCATGTACAGGCATGTTCCAGTCTTGAGGGAGTTTAGAGGGGAAAGGCAGAAAAATGACTTGATCTTTAGCAAACTGGGAAGCTGACCAATTTCAGACAAGACCCAAACAAAGTCTAAGAAAAAAGCAGAGCAGATGAACAAAAATATTTTTGTTACCAGAACCTGGAATGCAATCATCAACATTAAAGGAGCCCTTCATTTGCCTCATCCAGTGGTAAATAACCCAGTCAACTCACAAAAATGAGCATGAATTATCTCTTTGTACTGGAGTAAAACAAATCAAAGCAAACGCACCTTTATTTTTTCCAGGAAAAGCCCTCTGTTTTGCCTTTCATTACAAGGAAACAAACATCCTATGGCCCTGTTCACAACAAGACATTAATAATAATTAGCTGGTATAAGGGCCATTTGCTAGGACACTTGAACCTACCATATGAGCCCAATGCCTACATCCCTGTATGAGTCATGCCAGGTATTTCACAAGACGATATTGACAGCCTCTGTAATGAGGTCTTGAGCTCAGATCAAGAGGAACTGTTGTTCAACATTAACTCCAGATTCCATAGACACTGACTCCAGTTCTGTGATGGGCTGTTAACCTGTTTACACATAACCCAGAATTGGCTATTGCAGTTCAGAAACAGTCAGTAGTCTCAAGTCCAGCTCTGGCTGGTTACATAAAGACAGAAGCAAACTAAATATTTCTTAAAACTTGAGTGAATGAAGCCACCAAGGATTCCTCAAGTCTGGTAGAGAACTGACACCTCTATGGCATAGTGCAGTCTACCAGTAGACAGGAAGTCACAAGTCATGCACTTACATTAGTGCTTCCAGCCTTCCATCCTGTAACACGGCACTTCACATTGGGAAATGATGCCAAAGGCCTGCTGTGAGGAGTAGAATTAGGCAGGCCCTACGGAAAAGATACATCAAGAGAAGCAGAATGCAACTGCTTAGGAGGGCTGTGCGAAGCACAGTCCCTGATTCGATTCAGTGGAGATTTGACCCGATTTGGTGGCCAAATCTCCGAATCTGAATCAAATCAGAGGACCCTTTCATCTCTCTGAATCAAATCAGACCCCTCTGAATTGATTCAGAGAGATTTGGAAAGATTTGGACATAGACACAGCTTTAAATGTTTTTTCTATATAACTCTAGGTAGCAGGGGCTCATGAATGCTGTGATGCTGGGGCGCATAGAGTGTCCCACAGAAGCACGGTGGGCTCCCCAGTGTGCTCAGCAGCAGACCTGAAAGTGGACCAGAAGCACTTCCGGTCCACTTCTGGGTCCGCCAGGGAGTACACTGGGGGGACCCCCACATCCTCCTGGCTTGGTGACTGGTGCCTCCTGGGCCTGGGAGGGGGGCACTGGGCTCCCCCCATGGATGATTGCCGATCTGGGGAGGTGTGGGGGGGCCCCCAGCACACTCCCCAGCAGACCCGGAAGTGGATTGGAAGTACCCCCAGACCTGGAAGTGGACCAGAAGCACACCAACATTCAGCGATCACAAACCACGCCTGCTACCTCAAGGTATGTAGAAAAAACTTTTCAAGCTGTGTCTATGTTCAAATCACTGATTCTCCAAATTGGCATCGAATCTTCAGATTCAGATTTGACCGAATCGAATCAGGGACAGTAATCCAAATCAACGAATTGAATCACTGTCCCTGATTCGGGCCAAATCCAAATCCAAATCCAAATCCAAATCAAATAAAGCCTGCTTCGCACACCCTTACTGCTTAGCCACCACAGTATGGTATGGTGCGCGTGGAAGTTCCAAATAGTTTGCCAAAAAACATCGCAAAGAATTAGCACAATATAAAGACAAGGAAAACAACCAGTCCTTTCCGCAGGGTACCTACAGTTCAGTTCTCAGCAAATCAATTAATTAATGGACTTCAGATTGGGCTGTTAGCATACATGCACCCTTAAATTTTTCAGCATTGCTGGAAGAAACTGTTCCAAATAGTACACTTGAAAACAGGGGATCAGCAGCATAAACATTCCACAGAGCCACACTAACCTGGGGAAACATTATAATATTCAGCATAAGTTCACCTAGGTGTAGACATTAGAGGCAGGCCAATTGTTTAATCAGAAGCAATTACAGATGATAAATGAGTCAGCTGTAATTAGTTATTTCACAGACAAATATCAAAAATTGAACTTTTAATTCCTAGTCACTGACTTTTCTGTGTCTGTGTGACCAGCAGGCATTACATCTCATTGAAAGTCTTGTGCTGGAAAAGACCAACATGGTGTAGTTTTGTAAGAGATTTTGGCCAAAACAGCAGATTGCACTGCTATCTATTAAAATCTGTCTTACATCTATCTCTGTTTTCGCATTAGGAAACAAAATGTTGATATGAAGCTTTGGTTGATATGGCCTCCTACAAAATGCTATCTGAATGGTACTTCCCACACCTAGGTGGGATCAGAACTGTGCAAATAGCTGTTCCAACAGGCAGACAGCTAGATATTATTTTGTAGGACACTAATATGTACCAAATAAAGCTCTCATCCTGTGCTGGGAAAGTTCATACTTTTGGTACAGAACTTAGGCAGACGGCAGGGCAAGTTGGCACTTTAGGCCAGGTACAGACATTACACTTTTACGCTTGATGTGTTAAATATTGCAGTTATATCAACTTCTTTTTCACTGAGC